TCCCACCTGCTGCCCCTCGTGTGCCTCACAAAACCCTAGCGCATGTAAGCCCGTGCCGACATTATCCGCCTGGTGTTGGAGTGCGTGGTGTGGGGGTGTGGGGGGGAGGTTAGGGGGGGAGGTTGGGGGGGTGATAAATGCAAAGTCAGGAAAAGGCGGACGGGAAAAATAGGGAAGAGGGCGAGAGGGGGGCGTAGCGGCAATCCCACGGGCCCCTCAGGTAAACCCCCGCTGATGACGGAATAGGCCAACCGCCAGCAACAGCAACAGCAACCGCTGTAGCAATACCCAACGGTGAAGAGAATCCCCTTTCCCCCTTTCTCCTGCTACTGTTGCTACTGCTACTACCGCATAGCCACGGCTTCTAACCCTAGGAATCCAGCCCCTTCTCCCCCTCCCCATGTCGTTCTCCAGCGACGTGGAGTAACCCCCGCCGTACAATGCCGTACCTCGGGGTTTTCTTTGCAGATGAGCACCACGTCATTGTCCGTGTAGCTCTCCGTAATGCCCGCCTGTCCGTTGATTAGGGGGATTGGGGGGGGGGATGATGATTGCAGATGATGATGATGATGATGATGCAAGGCAAGCAACGGGTTGTCAACTGCCAACTGACACAAATCCAACTGCCACCAACTGCCACCAACTGCCACCAACTGGAGGATGTATGGGTGAGTGTGGGTGAGGGTATGCGTGATCGCGACTAACTGTCAACTGTCAACTGGAAGCTTTACCCACCATACACCACGACATACCCACCATACGCATACAGGCACAGTATGTGTACACTCCCCCCTTAACTCCCCTCACCTGCAGTACTAATCGAACGATGAGGAAGTCCTCTCTCTAGGAGGCATTTCGCCCCAAACCCGGCAAGGAATGTGTGTGTGTGGGGGGGGGGAGGGGGACCAGGGGGGCAAGGCAAATCAGGACAGCAAGGCGGCATTCAGAGGGCAGCTAAAGTGTTTGTATGTGTGTATTCATATACTCGGGGTTTGTGACGCACCGATTCCCGCACCCACACCCACACCCACACCCGCACCCACGCCTTCCCGACCCCATACACAGAACACCTGGGTGCGACACGGCTGGATTTGCTTCACGTGACACTGACGTGGATAAACATACACACATACGCACACACCGAGTGTGGTGGGGTTTGGGGCCTGGTCGCCATTTCCCCCTTCCCCTTCCCCTTACCCTTACCCTTACCCTTACCCTTCCCCTTCCCCTTCCAGTTTCCCTTTCCCTGGTACACACACACACACACACACACGGCGGCCGCGGTGGCGGCTGCGGCCCCTCACCAAGTCCAACTCGCCAGACAGACAGACAGACAGACATTCAGACAGGTCGCTGGCTGGGCTCACATGTTCGTGGCTGGCCACCACCGCGGGATGCGGCGCCATGACCTCCCCCTCCTCCACCCCCCGCATGATCTGAGCACAGCACTCCTCCAGCAACAGCGGCTCCATGACGGACTGGTACTCCTGTAGGGGGTCGGGGGGGGGGTCGGGGGAAAGGTGGGTGGGTACTTGGTAGGTATATATGTACGTTTGAATCTCTATGTATGTCTGTTTGTACATCTGTTTGGTTGTATTTGTATGTATGTATATATATATACATACATATGTCTGTTCGTTTTATGTCCGCTTCAATGGGGGGGGACGCCCCAGAAGCGGGAACTGGGGGGAAGGGGAGTTGGGGGTTAGGGCTAGGGGACAGGCTGTGGAGCAGAATGTACGTCTGTACGGATGTGTATTGAGACACGTGGGCCCCAGCCCCCCTCTCCCCCCGTTTCTTCTCTCTTTTTCTCACACGTGTGCATGTACGGACACACACACATACAGACACGCACGCATACAGAGACAGACAACACACGTACAGATGCGCACCTTCACGTTGGTGAAGGTTTGCGGCACCGTTTTGAGCTCCTCGAACAGCCCTCCCCCCCCTTCACATCGCCGCCACAAATCAAAGTAGTCCCAGGACAATAATATTTTGTGAAGCTGCTGTTGCGAAGCTACAGCGTCCACCATGACGGCTGCTGCTGCTGGTACTGCTGCTGCTGGTACTGCTGTTGCTGTTGCGGCTGCTGCTGCTGCTGATGATGATGATGATTATGGTAACGATAGCAGCTGATGCTGGTGTTGCTCGTGATCTCTGTAACTGTCTAGACGGGTGTTAGTCCTGCCGCTGCCGGTGCGGGGCGGCGGTGAAGTTTGGCCGCGGACTGATGATGTCAAATGCTATGGCAGCGATGGCAGCTGTAGTAGCTATAGCTGTTGTGGAACCAGAGAGGCGTTGCAGCGCGCGGACTGCGTGTAGCTAGCTTCACCGTGTCGCGATGGGGATGTCTTAGGCTTTCCTGTCCTGGTGGGGGGGAACGGGGGGGAGGCTGCTGGGAGGGGTCTTGGGAGGACGGAGCAGTTGGGTGGATGGCGCCGCGAGGAGAGGGCGAGCAGCAGAGGGGGGCCTCAGGGCTTCGGAGATGCGTGTGAAATAAAGCGAAGACGGGTTGAGGGGGAGTTGTCTCGCGCTGGTGGGATTGTGCTCCTCCTTGTCGGCTGGGTCAGAGACGGGGAAACCGCGAAGGATGGGATGTGCTGTCGAATTGACTTGAGGTTAGCTGGGCTGCTAAAAGGTCCCTAAATGTGCAGCTTCAAGTAGGTTTGCTTCCATGAGGCGACTGCAATTTGCGGCCAACTTGCACAAGCGCAGATGTATTACAATTTAGGCGAAATGCCTGGCGGCTATAGGAGACCAACTGAAACTGCCAACAAGACCATCATTACTGGTAACAAGATATCGTCACCCTACTAAGCACCTTCAACTGGATATGGAAATCGCCATTTGCAGGAGTAAGCACGATGCTCCGAGACCCATGACAATCGCGCATAGCTATACAAAAGAATGCCCTGTACAGAAGACTATCAGAATTGTCTTAAATCGACAGATGATGACTAAACATGTTGGCATACTGCACTACTCTCCTCCGCCTGAGTTCAAGCGTCCCGGGAGGCTCGGGTATCAAAACCCGCATTTTACTGCATACGTTACGCAGATTATGCACACGCACAAAGTTTTTGTAATATGTGCTGATCATCCTCATCCGCGCACACTAAGCCACAATCCAGCTACAATCTGTCGGAATCCCACTGTAAATATCATACCAAATCCCCAACCCGCGTGCAGAACGATTGGCCAAAGCCCCCAGTCTCGAGCTCCACCTTTTAAATCGTTGTAGATTACGACTGCCAACGACGCAAGGTGTTGCCAAGCAAATAGTGCTGCCACAAGACGCCCAGAGCCAAAAGCTTCAAGGGGCCCCAAGTGTTTCCAGTAAAGGATGATCAACGCAATTTGACACACACCAATCCCGCGGATCAGCATGTCAGCGGAGCTAGCGGAGTTAGCAGCTGCTGTTGGGAAAAGCTGTTGAGGGGCGATGAGCATTGCCAACGCTGTCAGACCTTCAACTACTACATGAGACATGTAGAGCGCATCCTTGGCAAATTGTGCGCCTTTGGGCGCCATTATCTCCAACAACTTGCTGTGCCCTGACTTCCTGCTTTCTGTTGCTTTTACCTCCTGTTCATCACGTGATTTATAACCGTCCTGGCCTCGGCTCCCGGAAGGCTTCGAGCTTGCCATTCCGTACGGGGCTCAATTCATAAGTCCGCTGCAGGCGGTCTCTCTCGGCACCACATAACCGAATGCCACAACGTTAACTTCCTCTGGTTAGATCTGCTTCCGGTTCAGGGCAGGATCGTTCAAGTTGGATTCCACGGTGGCCAAGCGCGCTACCTGCAGGAGCCGAGCCGCATGATACCCGCATGAAAGACAAAGCACCTCCGATGCGCCAAGTGCCTTGTGAGGCCATGAAACGGGTTACACCGCTGTCCACACAGTCACACACAGTAGCACAGAGGGATGACGCTTCGTCGACAAGCCCTAAACCTCTTTCCCTAAGCTCCCCCCCCCCTTCCCCCTCCCCCAGAGGAGCCTGGAGTGCCAGTGCCGCCGAGAGGGTTGTGTGTGTCACAAGGGGGGGGGCGCCCGCTGTGTTTCAGTGCGGGGTGTCTGGAGGTGAAGTCGTTCCGAGGGGGGTTTGCCGAGGTCAGACAGACAGAGATACATTCATTCATACACACAAACACACACAGACACACAAACACACACACATTCATTCATTCGTTCATTCACGAGGATATTCAGCACACTGGATACATACGCAGGCTACCACTTCGCCATAAGTTATATACGTTTTCAATCGCCCATTTATTCGTACAGATGTCCACACAGGGCGTCGTCAGCTCAACCCTGGGTATCGATTCAAGCATCAAAACACACATATATACACACATTACACACGTACATACGTACGGGACTCACAGTCTTGCAGCTATCCAACATCAGCGACTGCCCATATAAGTTGTCAGCTTGAGGGCACAGATGGAAATTTGGGGGACGTGGCAAGGTGCTGGTGTTGGTGCTGGTGATGATTGGCAGTTTGAGGTGGTAAGAATGAACACGCCTTGCCGTACGCCGGCGAGGAGGGGAGGGATTGTGCAGGGGTGCATACACAGTGTGCTGCTTCGGTTCCGCTGTGCAGAGCAGTCGTCAGGCTGTGAGGGGCGGTGACGGGTCCTGAGGCGTTGTGGCGGCTTCCGAAGACTCCGAGGAGGGGTTGGAGCCGCTGGCCGCCGCGAGCTCCTGAACAGCGCGCTGGAACTCTTCCTCAAAGGCGTCCCTCTCCTCGTCGGTCTCAGGAAGCTGCGGGTAGGGCTCCGCATTGCCCTCCAGCGCGCGGGCCAAGGCGCCTTCACCAACAAGCAGCGCCAGATCGTAAGCAGGTTCGCTCTCTGCAGAATCTGGAGCGATGCTTTCTATGCTAGTGTTCGGGTTTGGCTCCTCAAGGTGGTTGTTTGGGTGCTCAACATCCATGGTACCGTTCGGCTGGCTGTCAGAGTTCCCAAGTTCAACAGGATCTATTGTACTTGTAAAGCTTTCATCGTTTAACGGCGTATTATCACTAACAGGAGAAGTTTCCCCGATGGCTGATTGAAGCTCTGTGACCTGAACCATACCGACAGTCCTCACTACACTCTACTTTTATATGTTAATCCTATGGTGTTTCGTATACAAGTTAGCAAGAATCATGGGACTGTGCTTGGTCTAGCAAAATTGTTACGGAAAGAAGATAGGCACTTGGGACGCTGCTGGGAGGGGCAAGGGAGTACATTATGGTAAGGTGAAATGTCAGACACTGATGCGTAGCTGATTGCGGGCCAAACAAAGATTTCGTGCTGGGAGCCACGGTATGGATTTTGGATTCGACGATTCGTTGGTGCGACGGAGCGATAACTGCATTGGCTTTCAACAAAAAAATGCATTTAATGATAGCTACACATGAGAGGCTGCATGCACGCGCACTTCTCCTTCAACTCTTGTTTTCTCCTTCTGGACTGTAACAGATGTTGCAAGGAAGGAGCCGTGGCAACTGCCGGCCCCCCCTCTGCCGCACGGGGCATTCAAGACAGCTTTCTGCCTCAATGCAGAGCAATATGGATACGCAGGCGCACTCACAGAAGGACCCCATGTTTTCCGACGCCATGAGCTCAAGCTTGTGCTGCAGAAGCTACGAGAGCGCAACCGCAAGCGGTCGCCGACAATTGTCGCCGATGGCATAGGATGATGTTGCATGCGTATTGGATACTGGTACATGAAATGGAATTCCATTTCAGTACGGATGATTATTGCAGTACTCTCCGAAGTAACGTGGGAGTGCTGAGCTGCTACCGGTAACTCGGTATCGGTACTGGCATCGTACAAAGGAATTCTTTGTGCGCCCGTTACAGAATCATGTGTAAGTAGTTATGTGTGCATTCAATTTATTTAAGTACTTCAACGTAAACTGCATTTCGAAACTCTCCTCCGGAGATGTAAAACCGTCGCAGGCAATAGCGACGACGGCCCACCGTCGCAGAGCAATAAACTGCTCAAAATAGCTCTAAGGCGTCCATGATTACAATAAGGATAAAATTAATTATCTCTATTTGTTTTTACATATAACTTTTCACTGCGTCCCAACCTCAAAGCTGAAAGGCATGCAATGGCCTGGGCTGCGGCCGGCCGACAGCTACGGGCTGCTGACATTTGTAGTGCTGTCTGTCTTTGCCATCAGATCTTCAGTTACCTGCGCAAAAAAACATCGTCCTGGTTCCCAGAAGCTCAGCTCGCCGTCTCCCAAGGTTCAAGACTACGATATCATTTGGGCCCTGGCGTCGCGGACGAGCAAAGATCCCTTCGGTGAACAATCAGGACCAGGAGTATGCAAGCATCTCTTGGATTCTCCCAAGGCTCAGGTCCTTAAACGGAAGCAATGCAAGCCCGACATGGGCTTGTCCTTTGTGCCACTCATGACGGTAGGTGAGGTTAGACGAGAAAATGTAGACGCTTCGTATTATAGATATACGAATATGAGCTAAGAAGGCGACTGCCTTTGCTCTGTGTTGTGTTGTATGGCCTTTGCAGGCCTTTGCCTCTGCTGAAGCAGCAGTGACATTATATATGCACTGGATTCTTCAAGGAATAGCAAATTGTAACATAGTAAGGTTATATTAGAAGGGTGCTTCTATATAATAAACTGGTTGAAAGGTTGTCCTACCTTGCGGCCTAATTACATACAGCTGTCAAGCCAGGAAAGGCTGTTACTGGGTTACTTGAATTTCGATCCCCTGCGCACGCCAACTCCACCCGTAAATCTCAATGCATTCGATGTCCACATGTCCTTATATCCGTAATAATACCTTTCCTGCAAAAGCCCGAATCCCAGCGCTGTCCGTCTGCCCTATCACTACCATTCTATCTGCATTCATAACTCCAAATGGTTCTGTACGCGTATATGCATGTATATATGCATGTATCAATGACGCACTAATAAGCGCACTTTCAAGAGGCTGCCGAGGGCGGCACGCTCGGAACTCGGAATTTCCGGAACCCCACTTGTTCCTTCTGTGACCTCTTGACTGCTTATGGTTAAAACGCAAAATGGAGCGAGAACGGCGTCGTGCTAAACCATAGAATGCTAACGAAATCCTGGTTTCCTACCACCCGCCCTTGCCGCTACCCCCGCTGCCCTTGCTTCTGCCTCCGGATGTCATCATTCCCCCCCGGCTGCTGTCCAGACCCCCCGGTACGTGGACGTCCGTTTCGACCCGAGACCCACCATCGCTGCCAACAGCGTTCTAGGAGTTGAGGTGCGCCCTTTTTTCCTATACATGCGTATAATAAGTACATACATGCATACATATGCCAATACATACATAGTATATGTACGTACGATACATATGTGCGTACTTTGCTACATACGTACATATGCAGATGGGGAAAGAGAGCGCGCACGAGGGTGGGTGAAGGTGTGCCATACACTGGCACACTGCCCGGTGTCGTCTGCGGTGTGTCCTCTCGATCTCCCCCCTCCCCCCTCAGTTATCCCCTCCCAGAATCATTCCCTTCCCTCCCTCCCTCCCTCCCACCAACATCCATCATCACGGGTCTTCCTATCTTGCAGATCCAATTGCTGAATCGGGGGACTTTGCGACCCATCATCACAGCCATATACCTGATGTTGTTGCTGCCCAACGAGGCTAGATCTGCAGCCCTGGCCATCTACACCGCCGCGGCGCCCCCGTCAGCAGCAGCAGCAGCAGCGGTGCCGACGACGACTGAGGACTGCGTCAATGACTGCGGCAGCGGCGGCGACGGTAGGGGAGACGAGCTGCTGTGCCCCGGCCTTAACTTCTTCCCTATTCCGACAGAAGCGTTGCTGCTTATTAGCTCCTCACCTTTCTCCAATACCTCTACCCCGGCCTCCTCCTGGCTGGATGCACTGGTGCTGGGTGTCCGGGTGAGACTGAATGATGGCGACGTGGAAAAGCGTTCAGACCTCCCCGGGATCAGCGCAGTGGGGCTCCGTGTTGGGCAGCCGGAGCTGTCCTCGGTTCGCCTTATTAGATGAAGTTAGGAGGTCTAGAAGGGGATCTAGGGCTTGTGGGGTGGGACTCTTGTTTAAGTAGTCGTTTTGGTTTGAGGCAGTTGTAAGCAGTTATAAGCAGTTGTACGGAGACACGACAAAGGCGGAAGTGCAGGTGGAGAAGGGACAGAGGCGGGTCGCCGCTCGCTCATAATACATGTGTGTGTGTGTGTGTGTGTCTGCGTACGAGCGAGCACGTGTTGATGGAGCGGAAAATATTCCTTCGCGATGGAGTGCATCGGCGTGGGAAAACGACAACGCCGTACCTACAGGACGAATAAAGGACCGTTCCTTGCACCAGTACGAGTGCTTCTGAGCGGTTTCACAACATCTGCCTTCGTTATGCAAGGTTTGGTAAACCTGCATACATAAAAAAATATATACATGACATACACACATACAGTCACGCGCGCAAGCCATAACCATATGTTTAATCGGGAGATGGCCCGTTTCGGGATCTTCGTTGAGCGGTAGAAAAGGCAGAAACCTTTGGTTAGGATCAGACAAGAGCATATCACAGGCAGCACAGTCATGGGCCCCAAGCAGGGTCCCAACGTCCCAAGGATGGAGAAGTAGTAGTAGTAGTAGTTGATGTTGTTGTTGTTACAGCGGGCTAACCAAATTTCTATGGATAAGTTGCATTTCTGGTAGAGCATTTTGTATTTGTATTTTAACTGTTTTTCGTTTGGGTTGTCTGTGCCTTCTCTGGTCCTTAACCCCCAGCCGAATCAGCAGCAAGAGAAGCTCTTCGGCGCTGTAAATGTGAGATTCTTTTCCGTACTCCGTTGGGTTATGTGCGACGTACTCCCGTCTCTGCTCTCTCCTTTGCCGTACACTCCCCGTACTTCCTGTGCGGTGCAATGCGGACAGCTGCAGACCCCTTTTCATGTCTTTTGCTCTCCCGTAAACAAATTGCTGGCCCAGTTAGTAACTGGTATGTGTGCCACATCCCAGGGAAGCTGCACAGCAGGGGCGAGCAGGCAGAGCTCCACTCCTGCCGTGAAGACACCCACCTCTTTTGGGGTTGCAGTCAGACGCCATTCAGACTGTCAACACGTCGGCCCTGGTCGGACGGATACTTTGCTGCTGAACAACAGAATTGCCTGTTATCACCACCACGGGTACCACCACTAATAGACCCGCACCACTATCAACACGCACACCAGCACCAAGGGACACGCACGGGCCGGAAAGGCCAAAACCGACCTCACTCAACTCCTCAGAGGCGCAGCAGCAGCAGCATGCAGCAGCAGCAGCAGCACACTATATGCCCTTTACTTCTGCATGATGTAGAGCACAAATGACAGCAATATGCGACTGCTATAGACACTGTACAGCAGAGTACGGTGGCATGACTCCTACTTTCTGACTGACTGTATCATGTATCCTTTACCAGACCTCCCACACCTTTTCCCCCGCCATTTCTGTGTGGTCTGTAGCGCCAAGGATACAGCCGACAGCCCCAACAGCAGTATGTAGCAAAATATGTAATACAATGTACAGTGCGGCAGTGCGCTCCCTGCAGCAGTTCAATACGGCAACGAACACACACACAGACACACACAGACACACACAGACACACACAGACACACACAGACACACACAGACACACACAGACACACACAGACACACACAGACACACACAGACACACAGGGTAAAGATTCAGGAAGGTAAGCGGGGCCCGCGGGAAGCAGTCCCGCAACGCCCCGCGTTTACTAATAAATGAATGGTACGACCAAACGACTTGCGCAGGGAAGGATTGCGCCCGTACACAGGTAGTACGACAGTCAAGACTTCTATTGCCTAATATGGCCGTCTTTTGTGCTGTAACGCGACACGGGTCGCGTAATACACGCGCCTGACGCTGCATGACGCATTTTACCTAGCAACCAACTGCTTTAGTAACTAATGTCGATTCTATCTATTAGCAACCACCAACTGTCAACTACCGCTACAGTTACATCATCAAATCGGATCGAGTGGACAGGTGCGTGAACGCGTTGGCCGGCGGCGGCAACCAGGGGTCCCGCCAACGCGGCGGCCGCAGGTCGTACAGCAGTACGGCGCCAAGTACGACACGCATTCCTACGGTCCACAGCATCACCGCCGTCAGCGCCAGGCCCACCACGAGGCAGCCCGACGCCACCGGATCTCGCCAGCTGAGCAGAGCCTGTACGGCACATTCGAGTCGGGGAGATGGTGTTCCCGTCCAGGCCCGGGGTTCGATCCCGCCGGGAAGCCAAAGAATACCGAATTGAGCTAACAAACACAACAAATGTAATAAGTACAGCAAATACAAGGACAACAACAAATCGGAAAAAGCAGCTCTCCAGGAGACGGGGTGGGAATATGTAACAACCAACAATATTAAATTACAAACATATGGACCATTGACATAAGCGCGACGCTAAATATGCCAGTTTACACGCTACGAGGATGCTAAGTGCACTAGCTGCACTGCTGCAGACACAGCCTGCTGACCGAACCGACCTGCATGCGCTCCATGCCACCGGCAATGTCGTCCAACACGTTCTGCACGCGGAGACCGAAGTACACCATGTGGTCGTACTGCTGACGTAGCGCCCCCAGCGGATCCTTGGGGACCTCCGCGCCGCCGGGGACCGCCGCCGCGGCGGCGGCGGTGAAGGGAGGATGCCCCGCGGCACCGGCGGCGGCGGCGCCGCCGCGTTGCAACAGGACGTGCTGGTGCGCCGCCGCCCACTCTGCGCCGCCGGTAGCGGCGGCGGCGGCGGCGGCCGACGGCGGCGACGACGCGCCGAAGATCCACCCGGCGGCGGTGGTCGTCATGGAGACGGTCATCATGGACGACGACGCGGCGGGCTGTGACGACTGCGACGGCGGGATGGGTATCGGATTGGACTGCGGCGCTAACTGCCCGCTGACAGAGGCTGAAGCTGCCGTCCCCGCAGCCGCCGTCGTCGGCGTCGACGGCGTCGGCGTTGGTGCTGCAGACGGAGGTACAGTGGGGCCGAACCCGCTGCCGATGCCGCTCGCGGGGCCTGCCGGATCGGCGGCGCCGTCGCCGCCACTACCCCCGCCGCAGCCGGCACTCGTCGGCGCCGATGCTGTCCGGAGGCAGGAGGGGGTCCGTACAGCATCAGGGGGTTGGCATGGCGACGACATCAGTGCATTGTGTTACTCATAGCACCCTATCTGGCCATTGCTAGGAAGCATGTTGGCTGCAGCAGCTGCTACATGTCAAAAACTCAAGAAGTTGGGGATATGCCACCATGATGATGAGCCAGAGCCGGTGACAGCCGGTGGCACCGACGACGGAGCTCATCCACACCACGCTCCTTTTCCCCCTCTCTTATCCCCTCCTTTTTAAGGACAGCCTCGATCATCTTCCCCTTACACCCAAAACACACGCACACACACGCGCGCGCACGTGCACGTGATGGTGAGCTCGGGAGCACACCACGGTTCGATTGTTGTGATGTGCTGCGACACCCCACCTCCCCGGGGAAACCTCGCCTGCGACACCCCACCTCCCGGGTGCCCAGCCTAGTTCCCGATAATGACAGCCAGTCTTTTTGTTTTTATCCAACAAATTTCAACTCCGGGTCTTCGAAGCCCAACCGGCCGATTAAACACCCATTCAGTCCGGTCTTGCGGCCACCAGAAGAGCTATTTCCCCAGGAGGTAAAACAAACAACACCCAACGAAACAAGGCCAAGGCCATCCAGTCCCCCCCTATCCAGGGGGTGTCCCGGGTGCCGTTACCTTCTGGCTCGTTCCCAATGTCGTCCACCATCGCCGGCGGCTCGCCAAAGTACGACACCGCCGCCGCCACACCGCCGCCCGCCTCCGCCTCCCCCGCCGCTGCCGCTGCCAACCCCCGCCCCAACCCCACCACCTCCGCCTCTTCCTCCGGCGGCCGCATCATCTCGCCTCGCAGCACCAACATCCGTACTGCCAGCACCACCAGCAGTACTGCTAGTGTACGGGATGGCCAGATCAGCAGCAGCACCTCCCCCGCCGCCACCCCGAGGGTAAGCGGGGGACTGCTCCAGCTCTGGACCCGGATCCAGAAGCGCTTCATGGGCTCCGTGGAAGATAAGGCCCTTCAGAACGGGGTAAAGGTGAAAGAGGAGGAGGTGACGATGGAGGAGGCGGGGGAGGGCGCGAAGGAGGTGAGTGTTGGGGGAGGTGTTTTTAGGGAATGGACACCGCCAACCCACGGGTCTCATCCACATCCCGAGGGGGAGGAAGCGCTCACCGCCAAGAATCACACATACATGTGTGCCCATATGTATGTATATATATACACTATATACGTGTACATGTATATGATGTTTTCCGGGAAGTCATAACGTCTCGTCTGGGTCTTGACATCTCTTGTACCCAGTACTCAAACAATGGCTCCGTTAAAGCCGGTTCACCTTCCTGAGCTACCCCCCTTTTTCCACATCCACATCCACATCCACAACCACAACCACATCCACATCCACAACCACATCCATGCCCCCACCTTGCGATGCGCCGCCAGTGCTGCGTGGTCCGGCCAAGGTTGAACTCTGTACGGCCATCCTCCACCAGCTTACGAGAGGCGTTGGCGGACAGACCGGGACTGCTCTCTGAGACCCACCTGACCGTGTGTGTATGTACCCGCGTGGGGCGATGTCAATGCGGGGTGAGGGGAGGGAGCCGATATGGGGGGGCCATGTTGGGGGGGGGGGCAGCAGTGCAGCAGCAGGAATCACGTTTAGAGGTTTAGGCTGCTACTGCTCCTGCTACTCCTGCAGCATGTACTATTGCTGCTACTACTGAAATAAGCAGCACCCATTATTTCTTTCCCCACTCCCGTCCGCCCCTTCCCTTGGCGCCTCACTTTATCAGCAGCCTCCTCTCCCGCCGCTTCAGGGCCTCAGGCTCCACTCCCTTGCTGGAGTCCACCACGGGAAGCGTGTCACTCAAACCCCGCCCCGGTACGGCACCCGCCTAAGCCGCCCCCCAACCCCAACCCCAGACGTGCACGAGGGAAAGGGAGGGCCAGGGAGGGGAGGGGAAGGGGAAGGGGAAGGGAAAGAGGGTGGGGAGATTCTTTTCATGACACTGAGTAGTCAAGGAACCCACTGCCCGGCACGTCCAAACGGTGTGGGTGTGGGTGTGGGTGTGGGTGTGGGGTCTCTCACGAGTGCGGTGGAGTACCCGCTCACGCATGATGGTGATGGTGATGATGGTGATGATGGTGCGTCGCGTGTACCGGTGCAGGTGGTGGTGGTGGTGGACCTGGTGGTGGTGGTGGTACACACCCGTCCCAGAACTGCATGGGCACTGCATGGGCACTGGCGTTTCATGCAGATGGCACGACGACGTGGACGGGGGGCTCCTCTCTCAAAACACGGCGACATATGTAAGAGCAACACCCCCTTCTAAACACACACACACACACACACACAGAGAGGGAGAAAGAGAGAGAGAAACGCACAAACCCCATCCAGCACCACCCACCTGCAGCATGGCAACTGGCGGGTAGGTCGGGTGCTCCGCGTACGCCGCAATGAGCCGGGACAGACCCATGGGTCCGGGGGACAGCAGCAGAGTCATGCGGCACCAAGCCACTGTGGCACAGGGCCGGGGGCCGGAACGCTCGGCTGCAAGTAGGCGGGAAAGGCGCGGGGAAAAGCGCGGGGAAAGGATGCAAGGATATAAGAAGGATGGATATGGGGCGCGTGGCCGTCGCGTAGATGTGTTTTTTTCTCGGATTGAGCATTTCCTATCAAATCAAAAAGTCATTTATCAAGATGGAAATCAACTGCCGACTTCCCTGCCCGCCCGCCTCTGTCCGACCATTACCCTATGCCCTATACATGCATACACACACGCGCACCGGTACCTTTCAGCGGCAGACACAACGTCACGGGGCGGCCCGGCACCAGACTTGACGCCCTCAGCCTCAGTTTGCCCACCAGCTGCTCGGCCGCCATCATGCCAATCATGGCGCGAACATTGAGGACCTGAGGACAGGTAGCAGCAGTAGCAGCAGCAGTAGCAAGCAGAGCGGTCCGCAATTTGATGATCCGAAAACAGCACGCTCTCACGCTCTATTACGTACTGCAGAAGTGCATGATAGAAATATTTTCATTATCAGCTTTTGTAACGGAGGCGTCGGAGGGTTGCAAGGTGTGCAAAGGGGGACATGCACTCCCCGAGGCACCCCACATGCCGTACCTTCTTGCCGCCAACAACACCTGTACGGCGGTACAGCGCCAAGCTCACAAGTGTCGACGGCTTCAACAGCGGCACCACAAGACCCAGATGCGGCGTCAACCTCGCGCCACCGCTGCCACCGCCGCCAGCGGCGGCGGCAGCAGCGGCGCTCGTGGTGGCGGCGGCGGCAGCAGCAGCTACAGCACCGCTGCTGCCGGTACCCACAACCCTCAGACTATTTGTAGAGGCCCACACTACGCCGCAACGGACCGCCACGAAGTACTCGCCCTGCGTGATGGCGGTGACGGCGGCGGCGTGCTGCGCCGCCTGCCCGCCGACAGCGACGCCGCTACCCCCGACGGCTGACTCCGGCGGCGGCGGCCTCTCTAACTCCAAATCGTGGCACACCAGGGACAAGGTCGCACAGGCGCTGGCGGCGAACGCCGTCGCCGAGCATAGGCCCGGCGGCGGCGGAGCCGCTGCTGCGGCTGCGGCTGTGGCTGCAGAGCTCCCGCTGGACCTGCCCGCCGGCCCAGTGCACGCTGTCGGTGTGCACGGAGTCCCCGTCTCCGGGGCTGTCGGCGGGACGCTGCCGCTGCTGGCGCTGATGCCGCGTACGGCACCAGTGGCGGCGGTGGGGGAGTAATCGCAATCGCTCGCCGCCGCCAGCACCACCCCTGAGCCTGCCACCGGTGACGTGCAGCTCCGTACGCCAGCCACGTCGTCATGGCACGCTTCCCCCGCTACACGGCTACGCACATGCGGCAGGTCTCGTGGTGGCAGCCATAAATCCTCCTCGCCCGCTGGCGCCAGCGCCGCCACCGGCGCCGCCCCGTGGGTGAAACTTGACGCCACGATGGAACCTAGGCTGAGGTACGACAGAAGTGGCATGGGGTACGGTTACGAATAGTAAGCCGCAGATGATGCACACAAGCGCATGCGGGTGTATGTGCAGCCGCGCATGTGGCTCCCGACTTCCAGCCTCGGCGCCCTTTCCCATCACTGCGCCTCACCCTACCTCACAATCCCGCCGGTGTCGACAGGGCTGATTGCAAAGCCGCCACCGCTGCCACCGCCGCCGCCGCCGCCGGCGACGGCGCCGCTGCTGCGTGGCACTGGACTCCATGGCGGGCTCAGTACGGGAGCGCTGCTCCCGCCGTCGGCGACGGCGGCCACCGCCGCCGCCGCCGCCGCAGTCAGGTCGGCTCCCCCCTGGAGCCTCTGCAGGTGCTGCTGCTCCGGATGATGATGATGATGATGGTGCGGCGGGTAGGGGTGCTGAGGGTCCTGGTGCTGAACCCAGGGCAACAGCTGCGTGCCGTTGGCAGTGGCCCGTGGGTCGGCATCCACTACCTCCACCTCTAAAAGGAGCCTGCATTCGCGGGCCCCGCCATCGGGGCCGCCGCCGCCGCCGCCGGGTAGCCCATGGGTCGCGAATGCCTGACCCGCGGGTCCACCGACACGCGCCGTCAACACCGCCCGGCCGCGCGGCCACGTGTCAGGATGGTACGGCGGCTGGCCGCCGCCGGAGCCGCCGAACATGTACGCGGCTGCTGACTGCAACGCGCGCATGCCAGACAATTTGTCGTACAGATTACGAATCCGATTGCGAACCGATTGATGGCCTTGTTGGTTCCGCTGTTGCTGTTGCAACAGCAGCAGCAGCAGCAGCTCCTCCTCTTCCTGCTGTTGCTGTTGCTGCTGGCGCTGGCTATCGCGAAACTGCTGCTCCGAAAGCCGCTGGTAGTGGTTTCGGAGGACCTGATCCATGAGGTCGCACAGCGGTAGGGACAGCTGGCAAACCACCTTCCCACGCGACCTGGAAAGAGGCGAATGAGCGCGATGAGTGTGGGGGAGTCATTCCGGTGATGTACACACGGTGGAAGAGTACAAAAGTACAGAAAAGCCCGTGGTCTGATTGAACCAACGGACAGCACTACATGGTTCCGAGTCCTGAACCTATAGCAATATAGCCACCCATGAAGTCTTGCGTCTGAGTAACGGCACTGGCATTAGCAGCATTAGCAGCATTAGCAGCAGTAACAGCAGCAACAGAGTACCCCGGATACCCCCCGAGTGCATGACCACCCCAGCTGTGATGACAGCTGCAGTCCCCTTCCCCTTCCCCTTCCCCGGGGATTGGCATCGCACAACACTACACACATACGTACGTACGCCTCACGCCCAATCGTACATACTTGCTGTCGTTACTGCCGTACAACTCGATCTCCAACGGCGCGTTCCGTATCGGCCGCAGTGCGGCGATGACAAACGTCTCCTCCCACCGCACCGCGCCGCTGGCGACGGGTACCAGGCGGCTCGTGTGGTACTGGCCCTCGTAAGACACCTGCACACAGCACAGCACAGCACAGCCGAGCACAGCAGGGTGGTCACGGCACGGTAGTACGGCACCGCGGCAGGGCACGGTGAAGCTGAAAACATAAAACACCACGACGAACATACTGCAACGGACACATACTCACACACACATACATACATACATCGACACACGGGCTACCCTGTACACACCCGTACAAACGCGGGACAATGTTCCGGGATCGCGCTAAGGAGATATGACGATATTTCTTCCTGAAGTACTGTACGCTGAGGCGGCGACCACGCGAGAACTGAACAAACGTCCGCACCCAAAATCGCATTATACGGATAAGCACCACACACACATAAACACACATACATACTTACATACAAGGGGAGAACAAGGTCACATACTCCTTGAAAGTGCAGGTCGTCATTATCATGTATATACAAGGCTATGACATCTATCGTGTAGTCGGTCCCACCTCTTGACCCGCAGACACGTCCCCCGCCTTACCTTGCACCAAAAATAGTTGGACAGCCGGCGGTTGTCCACAACCGCAAAGCCGTTGCTCTCCAGCAACGACATAACCGCCTCCGCTGCCGCATGGTCGACCCCAGAGTCTCGCACACTGCCAACGCCGCCGCTGCCGCTGCCGACGGCACCGCTGCCGCCGCCGCCGCCGCTGCCACTGCCGCCCGCGCCCCCGCCACCACTGGTGCTGACTTCGTGGCTGTGCAGCGTCTCTGTCGACTTTCGCCGTACAGCCGTACTAGCCGTCGCCGCCGCCGCTGCGGCAGCAGCAGCTGCATCTGCCGGCGGCAGCGGCTGCGGCGGCGCTAGCGGCGACGGCGTGTGCTGTCCGGCTGTTTTCGGCTGTGGCGCCGCCGCTCCTGCTCTTTTCCTTCCATGTTGCTCTTTAAGCCTGTTGAGGAACGCACCCACGTGGCCCATGGTGCGGTCCATGTGTGCCTGCAGCTTCGCCCCCAGCTCCTGCAAGCACGTGAGCACGTGAGCACGTGATGATGATGATGATGATGATGATGATGATGATGATGATGATGATGATGATGATGATGATGATGATGCGGCGCACCGTGTTTCCTTTTCCACCACCACCACCACCACCACCACCACCACCACCACCACCACCACCACCTCCACCTCCACCTCCACCTCCACCTCCACCTCCACCTCCACCACTGCCTCCACCTCCACCACTGCCTCCACCACTGCCTCCACCTCCACCTCCACCACACGCACCTCACCTGCAGGTGCCCCGGCAGCCCCCCTGGACCCGGGCCCAGTCCGCTGCCGTGTGGTGTGGTGTGGTGGTGATGCGAGTGGCCCCGCATGCCCCGGGGTGGAGCTGCGGCTGAGGGAGCCCTCCTTACCGCCCCGACCCAAACGGAGGCGGAGATGAGACGAACCCTGTCAGCGATCCAGAGCGGGGGCAGCCGGGCAGCCGGACAGTGGGCTGGGTGCGGTGGGATGAGGTGGGTTGAGATGGAGCGACCTCGCAGACCTGCCTGCCTCCCTCCCTCTCTCGCTCCCACTCCACCCGTCACGAGATAGCTCCGCCTCTGAAATACCACATCTTGATGATCAATGGATATTTCCCCTCCCTCCCCGCCCCCCTTTTTCCAGCACCAGCACCAGCACCACCCCCACCCCTGCCGCTGCCTCATGCCTCACTCGGCCACCCACCCACCCACCCACCCACCCACCTCAGGAAGACCACGCAGGGGTCCACGTAGGCCACCCCCGCCGCCCCCCGCACCACAGCCCCGGGGACCAGCCGAGTGGTGTCCAACAGGAGCCGGGGAACCAGCTCGGGGGGCAGGTGACGAGCCACGGCTGAGGGGATTGGGGGATTGGGGGAAGGAGGGGCCGGAGGGGCAGGATCAGGGAATGCAAGGAACAACAAAAAGAATCAGCTGCGGTACATGTGCAGGAGGGGAGAGGGGGTGCGTATCAGCGGATGCAAGAAGCAGCGAAGCAGCTGCCGGGTCGGTACGTCTAACAGCTTCAAAGTATCAAATATTAAAACTGCTGGAGTTCAAAACGGGGGGGTGGAGGGGGAGGGAAGGGGAAAGACGAACCACAAACGAGTGAAGCTGCTGCCAGGGCAAGAGTGTACCAGACGGGGGAGGGAAGAGTGAGGGAAGGGGGAAAACATGGTTTGGGTATGTATAAAACACATTTTATCAAAAAACAAAGCCAGCAACAGCAAAAGTCCGTCCATTCGCGTGCAGTGTGCGCCCATACCCGAGAAAACACCAGAGCAACTTTCCAGAACAACTGTCACCCTCCCCCCCCCCCACACACACACAACCATCCAGCATACACTCGCACGCACACACACCCTCATCATGTAATCCCCTCACCATGGAGACCTGTCTTCAGTTTCCCTGGCTTGCCTCCCTTGCCTCCCTGACCCACTAAAGGTTTTTCCGGTTTCCATTTTAACAGTTTGAAACAGCCCGCACACCCTCTGTAACCCTCTGCAGACACCGGACACATACCTGCATCCGCATCCGCCGGCTGAAGCAACATGCTCAGAGCCAGCACGCCCAGCACCGGGGCCGAGGAACTGCCGCCGCCGCCGCCGCCGCCGGCACCTGCAGCCCCTCCTCCTCCTCCCTTGCCCTTGTTTCCCCCTCCCTGCCCTTGCGGCTGCATCAGCGGCAGCCGCACCTCCAAGCACCTTCCGGACAGCAGCAGCGCCTGGCCCTCCGCATCCAGACAGATCTCCGACTGGGGGGGGGGCGGGCGGGAAATCACGTGCAAGAAAGAAACTTAGAAACGAACGAGCTGCCGGCGTCCGAACTGCCGACTGGGGGGGGGGAGGGCGGTGGAAATGAAAGAATGAACAAAAAAACAAAGAAGCGACTGCTAACGACCAGCCAACCCCCAACCCCCACCCCCGCCGCCACCGGTGGGCGGGCGGGAGGGTAGGCGGCACAGGAAAAAATAGATACGAGGTGAGCCGTGTCGCCGACGCCTTGAGTGCGGTGGTCGGTCACTCGGTCACTGACTGGTGGTGACGACTGGATTGATAAAGCCTTAAAGTTGATAACTTCAACTCTTAACAACGTGGTGATGACAACGCACTACCGCACAGCGTTCAGTATATCAGTTAGCTTCAGAGCCTTCTTCATGTTCGCGGGGTGTTGGTATTGTATAGACTTCGCGGGGGACTTGGTGGGAGGAATAGAATGACCTCCGGCCCCCCTCTCCAAACCCGCCCAGGGGCCCCCCCTCTCCAAACCCGCCCAGGCCCCCCTCTCCAAACCCGCCCAGGCCCCCCTCTCCAAACCCACCCGCCCAGCCCAACCCCCCCTCTCTCCCCCATCCACCCACCTGCGCATACAGCACCTCCGAGCTGTTCCAGCGCCCCCCGCCGCGCTGCCCCCACAGCTCCGCCCCCACCACCAGATCGGCCACCAGCAGGCAGTCCTCGGTCAGGACGAACAACTCGGGGCCCAGGGAGGGAGCCCAGCTCAGCTGTTGACCCTCACCCGCGGCCACAGGGCCCACCTGGCCGGGGGGCTGTGCCTGACCAATGGGGGTGGAGGAGGTGCTGGGGCCATCGGTGGTGTTGCCGGGGGTGGGGCGGGTCTTCCGGATGACTGGCACAGTGCGGGTGGAGGCGCTGTGGCGGCAGGAGGGAGGGAAGGGAGGGAGACGGGGGAGAGGGAGGGAAGGGGCATTTTTGACTGAGGGGGTTCGAGAGAACAACAACCCGCCACCCAGGTCAGGGAGGTGGTGGTGGAGGTGGAGGAGGGGCGACCGGCAGGAGACTCCCGCAGGCTTGGACGTGATGGCAAACCCGGGCGGGGGCAGCCTGAGAAACGAACATCGCAGGCAGAGAGGTGACCCAGATGGGAGTTGGCACGGCTTTGAGGAAGAAAGCGTTGGGAGGGAGTTGGAAAAGGAGTTGGGGGTTGAGAAGGCGCTGCGAGAGGCGGAGGTTTGATCCTTTGTTGAGTTAAAAATGGAATTAGGATTATTGACAGTAAATTTGCGAGGTTTGGAGTCCGGGGGAGGTCTGGACTCCTAAGCCGGCTAGTGGGTACCAGGATTGAGAATGTGGATGGTACAGGAAGGGGATTGATGTGATGTGCAGTGAAGCTGGAATACGGGGAAGCGGAAGGGAGGGACGGCCTAAGGGACGGCAGATTAGATCGAGGGACGAAAAGTAAGAAGCAGAATTGAGGGACAGAAAGTAAGAAGGAGACGGCTAGAATGTAACGTAGGGAAGGAAGTTAAGCTGGGCGGGTAGTGGTTGGCAGCGGTATGGGACTCGCTCGGGGGTATATGTGCTGCAGAGCTACTTGGCACGGGGTATAGCTGCAATTGGGTGCAATTACGCTACTGCTCCTGAAAACATGCAAATTGGGTTGAGATGAGGAGCTGGCTTGATGGCATGCTTGCGTGTTCTTGCCGGGATTCCTCAACGCTCACCGGAAGGGACCCGCAACCAAGGTGACATATCCTGATTGTGGCACCAAAGAATCGGGCTGGTCCCATCCAATTTCCGCTTTGCAAACCTGCAACATAATTTGAACGTATCGCACGCTTGCGATTAAGGTTCCTTGGTCATGGTCGTTGTGTTGGTCTCGAACGCACCGTGATAAGCAGTTTACGTTGTTGAAAAGGATGTGCCATCTTAATCCTGCTGGACGTTCTCAGGACAGCATGGCTGGACTACCAGCTGCTCTGCAATTCTTCTGTCATACTTGGGTCTAAGCAGCTGCTATAAAAAAAACCTGCTCGCGTAGCTTTTCTTCAATTACTAATTTAGCAGCGAATAAAACAGGGGTCCTACCTAGACCTAGCTCACAAGTGGCAGTTAAACTGTGCACAGGTTGGAATTTGAAGGCTTAATAAGGAGCTACATATAAAGCAAATATTTTGTAAGAGCTAACTTAACTCTTACTGGGAAGGCGATGAATTGGGCTCATCCATGGGGCGCTTTGGATGTTGGGAGACTGGGAGGATTCGGTTGTTCTTGTTCCATCCGTTGCCGTATCAACTGGCATACCCACCCTCCAAGAAAGTTCAACAAGTATGCAGCCTAAACTCAAAGAACGAAGTAAGATGTAAACCTGGTGGACAAATCGCTTGGTCTGCGTTGTTCAACACGACCTGCTGTATTTTGGTATTTTCAGCGACAGCGAGGCACCGGCAGCCCACCAACCTATTACTGTGGTTACCATTCTCTGGTATATGAGTGTCGGTTGTTTCCAACAGCTGCCGAGGCAAGGCGCGAGAGTCAACCAAAGTTGGAACGCAGCTGCTTCGTGTTGAGTTCCTGAACTCCACCCTTCTATCCTACTGCCTTTCTCCCACTGCAGCGCTAAAGACATCCGTAAAGGATGGATCAACTGACGATACGCAGGGTTGCGTGGTCATTTCCGACTTTTGGGCCCATCCAACTGCTTTTCGATATCGGGACAATCCGCCAAAACGGTGGGAGCAGGTGCCTGACAACCACCCTATCGGTCAACACTGCGAACAAGGTCGCTTGTGAACTACAGGAAACAATTACGATTTCCGAGGGCTCTCGTCTGGGCCCTAGCTGAGGATTCATGTCCAGTCAAGTTAGTACGGCCTGGCCATTTCATTTTGATTCTGGCCCTCAGTGTTGTGCGGGAGGCGCTCCTTGGAGCGTTGTCAATCGACCCGATCTGGGTCCGCTATGATATAATTGCATTCACCCTCTTCCTCCATTTGCCGTGAAACAAAATGCGTACTCAGCACAAGTTATATGACCTTCTTGCCTCACGCAGCTCCTCCCGGCAGGAGGTCTGCCGCCCCTTCCCCAACTTACAGTCCACCTTCCGACGCCGCCCTCCCCGATACCTCCCAACCGGCTTTCCACAACGCCCTTCGTCGTCGTTCATCGCCCGCGCTCCGCCACCCCCCCCCCAAAAAGGCGGCCCCGCATCCTCGTTTACACCGGGCAGCTAATGGGGACCAGCGCTGCCGCAGCTGTGGGACCACCGCCCCGCGCCTTTTCAGCGGCTTCACCAATAGCCCCAACAATAGTCCCAGGGAGCTGTGGTGTTTGTTCCCTGCCGCCATGCACCACCGCCCCGCGCACTTCAATGGAGCGCAATAGTAAATCCAGAACCACCACCACCACCACCAACCCCATGGCGTGTGTGGCTGTTCACGTGATGGCTTTACTGTTGCACGTTCCCTTGCATGTTCCCTTGCTTAATGTACGGACGATGATGGCATGTGTACGGAACGGTGGAGAAGCATCGTACTTGCCAAAGTACGACCCATGTTTAAAGCATGGTGAGAGGTATCCGTCTCTCGTTACAACCCTATAGCTTGCAGCTCCTACACGGGAAGCCCCTGCTAAACTCCGAGTAAGCACCAGCGCCACCTGCTAATGATCAACATCACCTGAAACGATGGCTAGCAGTGCGAACCGTCGTTGCAGACCCATGCAGATCCCTAGTGTGCTAGTACCCATTCGAGGTGCGTGGTGTGACCTTCTCTCATTCCCCCGGGAAGATGGCCTCAAGCTAGCAGCAGCAGCGGGGTGGGGGAATTTGTCGCGGCACGCGCGTGAAGGCCGGACATGCTCCTTTTTCCTGGAAAAGGTTGAAGACACATTAAAGCAATTAAGCGTGCACAGTACCCTCCACTACCGCATATCCGAGTGCAACGTAATGCACATGACATTATATTATTGCGAGTGGAGCTGAGCGCATTGCCCGAGGTGCAATCGGAAGAGCTGGCGGCTAACAAAGGAAGTCGGGACATCATCAGTCATCGCCTGCTGTCCATCGTCACAGTGTTTCGGAAACTTGGAGGACCCTTACAAAATTGCGCCATGAATCGCTTGTAAAATTACAAATGCACTGGACATTTGGTGAAACGTTCCATGTTATTCTTATTAGAACCCTCTCGCGGGGCCAATACATGTTATGTATAACCGCTCTAATTTGATGATTCATAACTTGGTTATGGAAACAAGTTGGTTATGGAAACAAGTTGCCACCACCATAATTAAAGTTTAGGCTTACCTTTGTGCATCTGCAAAAGCTTTTCCTTTACCACTAAACCTGTCCTGCCCGTCCCTGCTTGCAAAACCTTTGCCCTACCTTGCTGCTCGAGAAACTGCTGTTAAAAGGTCTTCAGTTCAACAATTTCCTACCTACAAGGGCTGGTTTTTACGCTGTCCTTTAAAAGTAGTGGGCGCGTGCTTAAACTACCGACCCGGGTTTAATAACTGAGGCTAGCTGTAGTGGTGAGTAATGGTGGGTTTCGCATAAACAGAGTTTCAATCAGCGTATATTATAAATTGTGATATATAAAGTCCAGTACATACCTTTCAATACAATCTGGGAGCGTCTTTCTAAAATTCAGGATTGAGTTTCATTTAGCTCCTAACGGTCGGTATATTTTATGCCAGATGAATCAAACGGATATAATGGGTGTATTCAAACTGCTGCTAATCCTGATGATGTCCGTGCACGTTAAAGGTATGGTCGCGCGATCACGTCAAATCCAAAGATTGTTTTTGGAACTCTTCACTCCGTCAACGGCGTTAGATACATGCGCCAAAGTCACTTTGTAACAGTAGCCTGTGTCCTATGTAAACAAGCGCCTCGTGCATCCTCCCGTTGGATACGACAGTCCTGGATACAACCTCGCACACTCTCCGAACGTAGCAAAAGTGCACATTTTTTAGTGGTTAAAAACATTAGATGTGCTAACCATCCTGGTTCCGTTACCGCTTTCCTCTGCTCAGGTGTCCTGTCCGTAAACACAACAAGTGGAGCCTCTCCTCCGACGTCGAGCAACCAGGCGAATATGACTTCTCCCTTACCCCCGTCGCCCGTGAAGCAGCCCCTTCCGCCTTCTCCAGCGCCATCGTCGCCGTCGAGCAACCAGGCGAATATGACCTCTCCCTCACCCCCGTCGCCCGTGAAGCAGCCCCTTCCGCCTTCTCCAGCGCCATCATCGCCGTCGAGCAACCAGGCGAATCTGACCTCTCCCTCACCCCCGTCGCCCGTGAAGCAGCCCCTTCCGCCTTCTCCAGCGCCACCATCGCCGTCGAACAACCAGGCGAATATGACCTCTCCCTCACCCCCGTCGCCCGTGAAGCAGCCCCTTCCGCCTTCTCCAGCGCCATCGTCGCCGTCGAGCAACCAGGCGAATCTGACCTCTCCCTCGCCACCGTCGCCCGTGAAGCAGCCCCTTCCGCCTTCTCCAGCGCCATCGTCGCCGTCGAACAACCAGGCGAATCTGACCTCTCCCTCACCCCCGTCGCCCGTGAAGCAGCCCCTTCCGCCTTCTCCAGCGCCATCGTCGCCGTCGAGCAACCAGGCGAATCTGACCTCTCCCTCACCACCGTCGCCCGTGAAGCAGCCCCTTCCGCCTTCTCCAGCGCCATCGTCGCCGTCGAACAACCAGGCGAATCTGACCTCTCCCTCGCCCCCGTCGCCCGTGAAGCAGCCCCTTCCGCCTTCTCCAGCGCCATCGTCGCCGTCGAGCAACCAGGCGAATATGACCTCTCCCTCACCCCCGTCGCCCGTGAAGCAGCCCCTTCCGCCTTCTCCAGCGCCACCATCGCCGTCGAACAACCAGACGAATCTGACCTCTCCCTCACCCCCGTCGCCCGTGAAGCAGCCCCTTCCGCCTTCTCCAGCGCCATCGTCGCCGTCGAGCAACCAGGCGAATCTGACTTCTCCCTCACCCCCGTCGCCCGTGAAGCAGCCCCTTCCGCCTTCTCCAGCGCCATCGTCGCCGTCGAGCAACCAGGCGAATCTGACCTCTCCCTCACCCCCGTCGCCCGTGAAGCAGCCCCTTCCGCCTTCTCCAGCGCCACCATCGCCGTCGAACAACCAGACGAATCTGACCTCTCCCTTACCCCCGTCGCCCGTGAAGCAGCCCCTTCCGCCTTCTCCAGCGCCACCATCGCCGTCGAACAACCAGGCGAATCTGACCTCTCCCTCACCCCCGTCGCCCGTGAAGCAGCCCCTTCCGCCTTCTCCAGCGCCATCATCGCCGTCGAGCAACCAGACGAATATGACCTCTCCCTCACCCCCGTCGCCCGTGAAGCAGCCCCTTCCGCCTTCTCCAGCGCCATCGTCGCCGTCGAGCAACCAGACGAATATGACCTCTCCCTCACACCCGTCGCCCGTGAAGCAGCCCCTTCCGCCTTCTCCAGCGCCACCATCGCCGTCGAACAACCAGACGAATCTGACCTCTCCCTTACCCCCGTCGCCCGTGAAGCAGCCCCTTCCGCCTTCTCCAGCGTCGTCTCCTTTATCCTCATCCTCAGGACGCCGCCTGTCTCGCAGCCGCCGCCTCCTCATTCTCTAAAAGATCGCCGCCATAGCGACATTAAACAATTGCATGGCCCTGAAGGCGCTTCAATTATCAGGTATATGCTAACGTAGGCCTACCGGTCACGTAACGGTGCCCAATGACCGTGCCAGCCGAACAACCGGTAATACAGGGAATCCGTGGGTACCGTTTGTATGGCATTTGGGCATCGTACATAGTTGTACACTCATAGTTGCACTCATGTTTCCACTGCTCTTAGATCTCTCTGGGTAAGCTGGATAGGCGGCTGATAGCTGATCATCACACGAGGCGTGGAGTTCAGCAGGATGTGTCTGTATGTCTGTGTGTGTATTTGTTTTGTGTGTGTGTGTGTGTGAGCGCAGTACTAGCTTAGTATTGGAATATATACGGAACATTCCACCGGGTGTAAATACACAGGTCTTTCTGCAGGAGGAACGTAGTAGGCCTATCTTCTTTTTCAATCTTGCATTACTCTTTATTTAGTAAATATTTATTATAAATACTTTTAGTAATGTCAAGTCTCGTAGGTTGGGGACCCCTAAGTGCATTTGGCCAAGGGGGTGGATTAACCGAATGTTAACCTGCTGAAGCAAGCAGGGCATCAAAGTGCGTGTATCTTCCTGAAAGGAGGAATCCCGCTAGAGGGTGGCACGTGTGGGCGTGAGAGACGTCCCTCTCTATATACCCGTCTGCGAATATATCTAGTAAATGCAAATATGGGATTTCCAGATTTATGATTCTTAGTAGCTTGTCCAATTAGTTCGTTTGCGTTTACGGGTTTACCGGTTTCACCACAATCGGGGACGTTGGGTGGCGGCTTCGAATCTGGTGGCTGGATGCTGTCAGCAGGGTGGTGTCATCCCTGATTAGTCGGAGCGTTGGACTGAGTTCGTGTCGTATGTTCTCGTACGTTTCGTCGTGAATCTCGTACGAGAGTAACAACGTCTGCTTGTGCACCGGAGCCCCATTCGTGGTTTCCATAGAAATCTATGTATCATATGTACGATGAGATTGCCGTACATTGATACAGACACTCAGTTTGGTGTATCTTTTGTAACATACGGACAATTATGTAACATTTGGCATTTGTCAGAAGACCTTGCCAGAATGGCTTGTGAGCCTTTTATCGCTTTTGCGTTTTGCGACACAATATTGGTGATGGATGTGTTCAAGACAGGCTCCGGGTCATCATCCGCCCCAGGGCTAGGACCCATCCATTCCCTTTGGACGCTAGTCTGGGCTGATGTGCGGTGTCTTCCTTTCCTCCGTGGCTTTTAGGCGTTGTAGTATTGCCCTTGGGCCTTCGGCTCGTATGGGTAGTCTTACAGGTATGGGGTCACGCACCCCCAACCATGTAACACACACACACACTCCCTCAGCCGCCAAACTCCAAATTCCGCACCACCTCCCGCACGTCACACGAATCAGCCATCGTTCCATCCGCCTGAATATCCAACCTTGTCGTCCAATATATATACATAAGGTGCAAAACACATACATACATACATACATACATGCATACATTAAAGGGGGCCGCTGGTGAAGCTATACCACCCTGTAACAACATACATACATGAATGGTCAGCGGCTCAGAGCTCCGCATGTGTCACGATCCAAGCCAGCCGCGCCTTCTCCAGCCCCTCAAGAAACCTCAGCACCCGCACCTGGCGCCCACCAACGCCACCACCATCACCTTCACCGCTACCGCAATTATTACTCTTGGAACTTCTGCCATTCATTTCGAGCTCATCAGCCTCTGACGACAGCGCGCCTGCGGCACCTCCAAGTGCATCCTGATCATGTGAGCCCCCTTGCGGTCTGCCTCCACGGCCGCCGCCGGGATGCCGCCGTCCCGAATGCGAGAGGACGCTCCGAAACCAGCATCGCCAGGTTGGCCACCCGGCTAGAATGCTCACCAACCGAAAAGACCCACTTCTAACGAAGCCCTGCTTCCCCCTGCTGCTGCTGCAGCTGCTACTGCTGATATTATTGCTGCTGCTACTGCCGGCCGGGGTAACTCCGGGGCCAGCAAGTGTCGACCTCCTTGAGAAGCGCCGACGTGCTCCCACCAGCCCCACCTCTACCGCGCCCTCCTCACAACCCGTAAACCCACCAACTTGAATATCTGCGCCTGCCGCCGCTGCTGCCCCTGCCCCTGCCGCCGCTGCTGCCCCTGCCCCTGCCGCCGCCCCTGCCCCTGGTGCTGCCGCCGCAGACATGGGTGGTGGCCCGGCTGACTCGCTACCGAGTGCCGCCGGTGCCGCCGCCAGCCGTGCTGCCGCGCGGCGTCGCAACGCCGCCAGTGTGCCCGCATGTCGCTTGTACGACATCACGCATCGCGCAAAGTCCCAGTACGACAGATCTGGCCAGAGGGTGCGTAGGTAACAGAGGTGCGCGTGGGCCGCCTGCCACAGCAGGAAGTCCGACAGACGGGTCTCTCCTGATGTTCGAATCAGCAGATCGACGGGCGGGCACGAGGAGCCGGTGTGCAGCGCTCCCATCAACGTCTCCGACGTCACGTCGCCGGGCAGCAGCAGCCCATCGCGTACGGCTTGTTGGATTTCATGTACGGCATTCACGGATTCCTCGCTCGCCCTGTATGGTAAGGGTCGACGGGTGATTTTCCCTCGTGTATTCAGCAGTCCAACAGAACTGAATCGCTGGCGGCAGGCGGCGACATGCGTGCGTGCTAGGTAGGTGAGGTGCATGCAGCGGGAGAGTCCCAAGGGGATTCTCTTTCACCGGCGGGATGTCGGTTCAGGTGAAAGTGGCGGGGCGTCCCCATACATACGTACATACGTACGTACATACATATATACCGTTGAACTGGGGTTCAGAATGGACATATGGCAATGGTGATAATGGAGCTGCACCTGGTGGTGGTGCCGCATCGTCTATCGTCTTACGTGTAGGAGAAACAAACGTTGAGTGTCGCTCGGTGGCGAGGGAGCGCAGCGGTGCCCCGCATGAGCCGTGCTGCAGCGCCCTGTACGGCAGGTGGCGGCAGCTCAAGGTCGCCCACGATGTGCATTCGGATGCCCTCCCGCTCCGCGAGTCCGTTATCCTGGCGGGGTGGGGTGTGGGTGTGTGGGGGTGGGGGTGTGTGTGGGGGTGTGGGGTTCCACATGCACGGGTGCTTGGAAGGACGAAGTGAATGATATTGAAAGAGAGCATTAATTTTCCGAGAGGAAAATAAGAGCATTAATTAATTTTCTGGGAGGCATGGGTTTCGATACGTAAAGTGCGGAGCTCGTGCAGGTTAGGCGTCGGCAGGTGACGAAAGGCCGAAAGGGTTGCCAATCTGCGCATGTGTCGATGCCGGCCTTCCTTGACCTTCAAATCGCTGCGCGGCCCATCGCGAGGGTCTCCCACCACGGCCTCCCACATCTCTGTCCGAGGCTGAGCTAACCGGGGGTTGGGTCGTCATGGCGTCGGATGTTGGGGTTCATTTCCTTCCCCCTAACCCCTGGCCAACACGGATTGAAGCAGCAAGGCTGGCAAGGTGTAGCTCACCGCTGCTGGTACAACACGGGAGTGGAATTATGGAGGGAATGAGCTTGAAGTTGTGACCTTGAACATGGCCCGCACCTGGGCCAATTCGATGTACTTTTGCTCCGCCAGCTGCATCAAGGCAGCCACCTCGTCAGGCGAGCGCTTAAAGTTGTCAATGCTGAAGGCATACACTGTTATGTACTTGACGCCCAGCTCTATACACCAGTGGATGACATCGACCATCTGCGTTGCAATGCCTGCCGGTTTGTCAACCCCAAAGCTAACAGGAGGCGCCAGTGGCGTATTTTACCTTTCCATAGCCGTGCGTGTGTCCTGTGGCCTTATCAAGGTGCTGCCGCTCCGCATAGCGACGGTTGCCATCCATGACAAACGCAACGTGCACTGGCACTGCTCCAATCAGACCTAGGAACAGCTGGATCACAAGGCGAAGCCACACTCGCAGCAAATCTAATACTGCCATTTCCATAGGTAGGATGCTTGTTCAGTTCCAAAAGCTGCAGGCATCCGGCAGGCAAGACATTCATTTATGGAGAAACAGATTTGCTCCAGAGAACAGAGCGATTTGTGCATAACAGTTGGTTAAGACATTGCGATAGGAGCAAAAGCCAGTTTACACAGCAAATTACATCCAGCGGAATTTGAGCAATCTACCTAAGCGGCAATAAATTTGGGCAATCTATACTAAGCAAAAACAGCCTAAACTTATGATAACGGTCAAGCCCGAAAGAAGCTCCACGACCGATCGACGCATGGAGCTTTGTTATAGCTCAATGGCAATTATGATCCGACCACAGCGCACCCAATGCTTTTGCATATTGATTGGCCAGGAAGGGATAATATTCAATCCCCATTCCGCCACGTCAGTACAGACTGCCAATGTAGCAGCCAGTAATAGCAAGTCCCCCTGCGTTAGCAAGCCTCACGAGTACTTGTCCTCCGCATCGGCAACTTCGAAAGAACAGACACGACATGCGGCGCAAGACCGTATCCCCCGGGTCAGTCAATACCTGCCTTTACCCCGGGTCAGCCGCGCCGCACTCAAAAACATAGCCGACAACCACACCATTCACAAGCCTCATCACAGATGTATGTCAAGCTAGAAACAAGTGGCGCCAAAGCCAAAAGCACCAGGCCCAAAGGTTGCGCCGCCCACAAGACTCGGAGCCCAGCAGACCAACAAAATCTCGTCCAAAGACGACAATTCAGCAGACGACGGCGATGGGCCTTTTCACTGAGTCTTGGCCTTGGGTGCTGGCTTGGGGTAAGCCGGCAGCAGCATGTAGCAGTTCATTGCAGATGCCACAACGCCGAGGAAACCGACTGTGCGCGGCTTCAGGGGCACGAGCTGCAGGAGACCTGTCGCCAGGGCAGCCTGCAAAACATCATCAGCGGAGGATCCAGGGGTCAATGTGCAACCACAAAGCATGGGCAGCACGGACAGACATTCTGCTGACGCGTCAATACAAATTCAGTTCATCGAGCACGACTAAGCACGCGTCATGCATGAATTAAGGACTCGGCTCCATATCTACCACAGGAGGTTTAGTGATCACGCCCCACGTGCCTCAGAAGTTCTTACAATGATGAAGAGGGTCTCCACAAGCCAGAGCACACCACCAGGAGCTAATTCACCATCAGCAAATCAGGACGTTGCAATCCTCTCCGCATTTAAAGCAGCCTATCCTTCAAAGGTGTCCCATCGTCTAGGTTCGCCCTAAAACTACGCTACTATTCGACAATCTGGAATCCACATCGCCTACTCGCAACTTACTTGGAAGAGTGCATGGATAAGGACGTATAGGCGCTGGTTGATTTGTTTTTTGACCTCCTCAACGCGCTTGCCGTATTCCTCCTCCGTTTCGCCTTCTTTGCGCGCAACGCTGGATGCCGTGATCTGCCAGCTCTCCGTCGCCACTGTGCACAGTGAACCGAGCGCCCAAGACCAGAGCGACAGCTTCTGGTATCTGCAGGACAGGTCGCCAAAGGTTTAAACAGCGAGAATCTTGCGATTAGCATGGTGACAAACTTTCTGGAAACCACGGAAACTGTGAAGGGTGGGACATAATGCCGCGCGATTAGGGAAACATGCTAAAACCATCCCATGCAGGCGATCTGCATAATCATAATCATACGAGGTAGAACTCTCTGCATGATATACTGCATGATTGACTACATCGGCACTCACCGCTCTCCAACCTTCTTGTCAGAAATGAGACCGATTTGGTGTGCCCATACAACATGGTCGGCACCGAAGTACACCGCCATGAGCACCGCCTTCACCTGTGTGGTTTTGCAGCGCACAGCAAAAATGTCCACCGGTCAACGTTAGCCACTTGCCACCTGATGCCAACTGGGTCAATACGCACAGGCGGAGTCAATACGCACGTGCGGAGAAATCCTGCGAGCTGTGCAGTCTGCGAAGCAGAGCGTGCTCCCAAAGCAAATACGCCGTGGACACGGGTGTGTGTCTGAAAGATACAGCGAATTAATTTCATGACCATAGACGGAGGTTCGAACACTGCTAATATAGGATTGGTCTGCAAGACTCTCATACCTTGTTTACGGCCTCCAGGAGCATCGGCTGCTTCCCCGTGAAACCTGGCTGGATGAGCAAGGGTGTCACCAGCTCGAGGGGCTGCATTGCAAACCACGTATTAGTAAAGTACACAGAAAATTGAATTAGCTTGTATGCGGTGAGCCCGAGTTACTCACCCGCATGACACGGAAGACCTTGCGCGCGGCTGTCACAGACGCCTGGATTTTCTTAATATTGCCAGGCTCGCCAGCTGAAATAAACATGCACGCATACTGCAGAAGTATAGAAAAGGGAAACCACGGGATGGAGCAACGGAGGGTGCCGTTGAAGCTGTCGGAAATGCCTCTGTAAGCACCTGTATAAGCGCGGTGAGCTTGTCCTTGCCATCTGCCTTGTCACAAAAGCCCTTGATGACCTGAACATTTTTCCAAGATATCCGGCGGCGTTAAGCCCTGCTGCGACAGGCGGAAATAACTGGAAGAGCGGCAGCTCTCTGCAACAACACCTACGTTGAGGTGTTCCGCGTAAGTTGGAGACATGATTGATTGAAAAGATACACGTCCACCCACAGGATACACAGAATGGGAAACCGCTTATGTCAATTACGCTCTTTTATTGACAGGTCTGGCCAAACCTAAGCTCTTAAGCTACAGTTAACAGGCGTGCCTTGGGATATGAACATTGTGAGGCAAGACTCTCCTCAAAACATGTGCTGCAAGGTGTAAATTCAGCTTGCCGTACAAATCAGTTTGTTTAATCGTTGACGTGGAGGTCGGTGTCGTTACACAGTCGGAGGACCACAGCAACACCGCAATGTCCAAGTTCCCTTCTATGTGAAGGAATTTGAAAACCGTTCCGCATACCAACTGTCATATTAAACCCTAGCCCCCACGTACTTCCTGCGAAAGCCTAAACCCCACGATCGCCAGATGCGCAAACTTCTTAAGGTCTAGCGTAATCCATATCGAGAAAAGCATGTCATTCTTCTGCACCGAAGGCAATAGTGCCAACTCGTCCAACTACGCTTTTTCAAAGCTTCAGTGACCCGGTATTGGGCTAAGGCGACCAATAAAATCTTGCTCAGCAATCTGGCCATTGCGCATAATAAAAACCCACTGATGGCACTTTATTTTCTGGCCATTGTCGAAGGTGTGCACGAGCTCATAGCCGATGTGGGTTAACCTCCCCGAAATGTCGATGCTCTCGCACCTGCAGCGTCGTGGGGACAACGGAACGAAAGAGCCTCGCAGCGCAACAATACGGGTTCTCCTCAAGCTGGTCAAGCTCTTGACCTCCCATCCTCACACATAGCCTAAGACCGCGCATGTGCCTTACCTCTGGCCATACATAGCATGCATATCCAGGAACCCACCAGGGATTCACGCGCCACCAGCCCAATCCCTCCTCTTCGCCGTCCTTCCCCCAGTTCCTACCCGCGAGATGTTTCACTCCTTCCCTTGCCATTTCACCACGATCCCAAAATCTCAAGACGCGCTGGACTACCCACCCGTCCACGGGTCCCTCAAATCCCACACAGCCCAAATCTCCAATACAGAGGACGACTTACACGAGCAACACGTCGCCATCCTCCGTGCAGTACATCTTGGTGTTGCTCCTGCCGGGCTTGACGTCGCGGCGAAGCAAGATCGTCACCGTCGAGTTGTCCTTGTTGTATACCTCCTCGTGCGTGATCCGGACGCCTAGCGGCAACGTGAGACGCGCCTTTAAGATGATCTGGGTATCGGACTCTCGAAACTGCAGAGGGAACGTCCAACAAGGCCACCATAACGCCATAAGGGCAGAGGATCACACGGAACAGGAACACCAATCCAGGGCCTCAGTGCGGAATAGAGAGAGAGAGAGTGGCAGAGGAAGTGTGAGGAAGGGTGGCGGAAACGAGGATGGCAAGGCGGCCAAAGAATGCCCAAATATGCACACCACACAACAGCAGGAACGATATGCTCCATACAAAACGGTGACCATACGAAGCTGTGTGTATTGCACACACACTAATCTTCCGTTACATACCAAACAGATGCCGTACCAGGATGCCCTTGATGCTCTCGTGCGCGGTGCGTGCCACGTAGTTCACTCCCAACGCCGTGTCGATGGGCATGGGGATGGGGGCGGACAGTTCGGGTATCTTGGCCCAGTAGCCGGCTATGCCCGTCACCTTGGGCGACGGAACGTAGCGCGTCGTCGGGTCTGCATGGCCGTACCGGTACGGCGGAAAGAAACCCGTGTCGTTGACGTGCAAGGACCCCGCGCCAAAAGGAGAAGAAAGAAAAAAGGGACGGGAAAGAGGAAAGGTCGTGTTGCTCAACGGTTGTAAAGAGTGAGGCAGGAAAGAGGCCTTGAGTGCATTTTCCTGAGGAGAGGTGTGTTTGTGTGTGAGTGTGTGTGTGTGTGTGTGATCTCTCTGGATAACGCGACCCGGGTGTAAAATTGTGTGTTTACACACACACGCACACACACGCACGCACACACACACACACACACACACGCACACACACACACACACACACAGACACACAATAATGCCGGAGGGAAGCCCGTGCGGGAGAGCCCTTCAAAGCCTCTAGATAGAATGATTAGGCCAAGGATAGACACGTGTGCACGCGCGCGCGTGTGTGTGTGTGTGCCGCATGGCGCCATAGCGCCTTTACTACAGCTTCCTCGCTCCCCCCCCCCTCCTCCGCTTACCCATGCCCGGGATCGGTTTCTCCGGAACCCAGCGAGGCCGCTCCCCACCCAGAAGTGCGCCGGCGGGGAGGCCGACAGGCGTCACGACGTCGCGCGGCGTCGTCGGCAGCGGCAACGGCACCGCCGCTACCGGCGCCGCGTCGGCAACGGCCACAGCGGCGTCCATGGCCGCGGCGGCCTTGGCGGTGCCGGCGGTGCTGTCTGCGGCGGCGATCGAGGTAGTGCGGTGCGGCGCCGCCAGCGCCGGAGTGCTGAACTGTCCCGTCAGGGCGACATCGTCCGGGGATTCGGTCGGTGGTAGTGTCGGCCGCCGCGTCGCTTGCGGCGGCGTCACCGGCAGAGCTACCACCGGTGGAGCTGAAACCTGTTGATTGTTGGGTTGGGCAGTGCGTGGCGGCGTGGAGGCGGCACCATTACCCTTTTTTCGTGAAAACGTGAAAAAACGTGAAACAAACGATGATGCGCAGGATGATGATGACTTGATGAGAGAGAGGCAGGAGGGGCGACGGACCGCACCTCCGCTTTGGGGATAACGACCGGGAAATCCATCAAGTCCGCCACGCGGCTGCGACGTGGCTGTGGCGCGGCAGCGGCCTCGGCGGCGGCGGCGGCGGCAGCCTCCGCCATGTTGTACGGCACCTGCACTCCGCCCATTTGCTGGTCGCCGGTGTGCAGCGCCAAGGACATCACGCCGCCAACAGCGGCGGTGACGCTGCCGCCGCCGCCGCCACCGCCGCCACCGCCGGCATTGAAACATGATACGATGGAAAAGGATGAGGCGACGCTTCGGGCGTCGTACCAGTCCTCCTCTTGAACGCTACCTGAAGGGGTGTAGTTGTACGACAGTTGCAGGGTTGGTGCTTGGTGGTTGGGTTTTAGGGTTTTTACCCTAACCAATCAACCAATCTCCAAGCAACCCCCCGTTTCACCAACCAGCCCCCTCTGTCCTCACCCCCCGTGGCAGCCTCCTGACAGAGCTCCTCAATCATTTCAGCTTTAAAACTCACTCCACCACTCGTTCAGTTCAGCATCACCTCATTCATCCGCTCATTCAAGGGGCTCTTTCCTCAACTCTTTTGTTTTTAACGACGTTCTGTAATGCCATAGTTAAAACGTAAACGTTCCCGCCAGCCAGCTTACCAGCTGTTCCGATGCTCGACAGGCTCTCCCGGCCCACGACCATCCGCTCGTCTACCGACGGCCTTCCCTCCGCCGCCACTGCGCCGCTGGACCCCGTACGGACCGGCGTTAGCCGTTGCGTGCGCTGGCCGCCGTTAAAGCTGCCGCCACCGCCGCCACCGCCGCGGATGACGACGACGGCGGCGCCGTCGTCGTCGGTCTCGGGCCGCGGTAACGGCGCCGCCGGCGCCTGTTTGGCGCCGCGGCCGTTGGCGTTACTTGTACTGCTGACGTCGTTAACATTGGTGCTGTTGCTGCCGTCGTACCCGTATCGGTCACTGTCGTGCGCGCTATACTGGCCGTTCGGTTCGCTCGGGCGAGTGCTGCTGCCGGCTGTGGCGGCGGCGGAGCTTGCGGCGCAGGGGACGTCGGAGGGGGATACTGCCGCCGCACGGTTCGGCCCTGCGAAAAGGACAAAGACGGACAAAGACGGACGAAGACGAAGAAGAAGGATGGGGGTAAAATGGTTATCTGAATCTGTGGAAACTTGAAACGAACGTGAACAGGTCTCATCGCTGATTAAGGAATGCTTCACCAGTCCAGTATGTAAGAAGTAAGTGCCTTCATGGAAGCATTACCGCGATTATGGGCCTTCTTACTTACTCCAAACCCACCCGCTATTCGTCAGGCTTTCTTCCCGTTGTTCTTCCCCCAAGCCCACTCCCCTCCCCCCCTCTCCCCCTTCGCGACAGGAGAGCACCAGCACCCAATGTGGACCAACATCTCTCTTCAGAGCGTCATCTGCGCCGACCTGACGCCCTCCCCTTCCCTTTCTTCACCTCCTCCAACTCCCTTTTCGTAAACACACACACACACACACACACACACGCATACACGCGTGCACAATCTCGGCCCTTCCCCTCTCCCCCTTCCGCTCCCCTTCTCCTCACTCTTTTAAATCTTCCTCTTCACTTCTCCTCCCCCCCTTCCTCTCCCCTCCCCTTCCTCTCCTCCCCTCCTCCTTCTCCTCCTCAGCCCCACCGCGAAAGTACCATTGTGCTGGTGTGGTCAGGTAGCCCGTGTTGCCCTGACTGCCTGACTCAGATCCCGAGGACGAACCTCGCTGCAGCGGCGCCTCCTCGCACACAGGAGCCGTCTCGGGCGCCGCAGGGGGAACACAACCGCCGCCGCCGCCGCCGGTGCCGACGGTGCCGC